CTGCACATATCTGCACGCCGTACGAAGCAGAAAGCCCATCTGGCCCAGTCATCGTGCATCCAGGATCCCGGCTCCGCGAACGCGGCAATTACAATGCCCCACGGATGCAAGCAGGGAGTGCTCTGAGTGTGCCTGAGTACCCCACATCTCAGCGCGCAACAACACCCTTTTTTAAGAAAACTTCGCGGGGAGACGGACAGATCTTGGCGGCGAGGCCCACGCACCAGCTTGACGGGAGGACAGTCTCCGTGAAAAAGGTGCGCCATGGGAGTCTCTGTGTAGACATGTGTCGCCGTGGTGTCGCCATCTCCCCCCCCCCAAAAAAAATAAGAAAAGAAAAAGTGAGAAGAGACCCTGTGCCACCGACCACCAGCTGCACCTCAGCATAAGCACCTCAGCACCTGGAGAACACTCTCTTTTTCTCACTCACCATAGGCAGAAGACATGACAAGTTGTAGAGTGAATGCTTTTCGGCCATGAGCCGACCGCACCTAACTGGCCCTTGCCAGGCAATGCGAGAGGGTGGAGGGGGCGGCAAGGGCATGGGAGGAATGCTTGGCGCTCAGGGCACGAAGATGCCAGGAGGGGTGCAAACGTAGCTGCACAAAGTCGGGCACCTTTGGAAGTGAGCGCATGTCCTTAGCGCAACCTGTCCTGTTTTTGGCTCAGTGCCTCAGCTGACGCGCTCTCGGACTGCTTAGCTATTAGGGTCGTGTGACGGTCGAGGAGATGTGATGCGGCTGGTTCTTAACCGCTTCATGGTCACGAGGATCTCCGCACGCAGGGGTTGGGCTGCTGTTGTCGTCACCTTCAAGTTCGATTTCTTCGCAGAGTCGTTTTTAAGTTCATCTGGGCCCTCTTCAGGTGGATCGCGGATTCTGCAAACCCCAGGCAGCAGCTTGTTGCAAATCTTTGCAAATGCGAAAGGTCCGGCTCCTTTGGCGGCTGCGGAGGCGGCTGCGGAGGGGACACTGGAGCAGGCGGGACGTCACACCTAATCAGCACATGTCACTGGAGCAGCCGCAAGGACTCACAAAGTGCTTGCCGCACAGGCTGAAGCTGCCACGAAGTTGATCAGGGGTAGTCCCTAAACCCTAAACCCTAAACCCTAAACCCTAAACCCTAAACCCTAAACCCTAAACCCTAAACCCTAAACCCTAAACCCTAAACCCTAAACCCTAAACCCTAAACCCTAAACCCTAAACCCTAAACCCTAAACCCTAACCCTAAACCCTAAACCCTAAACCCTAAACCCTGAACCCTGAACCCTGAACCCTGAACCCTGAACCCTGAACCCTGAACCCTGAACCCTGAACCCTGAACCCTGAACCCTGAACCCTGAACCCTGAACCCTGAACCCTGAACCCTGAACCCTGAACCCTGAACCCTAAACCCTGAACCCTGAACCCTAAACCCTAAACCCTAAACCCGAACTAAACCCTAAACCCTAAACCCTAAACCCTAAACCCTAAACCCTAAACCCTAAACCCTACACCCTCATCATGCTTTCACTCGATGCGGAGTAGTTCTCCTCCTGGGCCAGGAGTTGAATACAACGTCGTGAAAGTCTTCGACAGCCTGCCCTGTTTTGATTTCAAGGGCGCGTCTAGGGTTTGGTTTGTTCGAGGATGTGGCATCTTTGGCTTGCATAAAGTATTGCAAAGTTTGTACACATATGTGGGCGTATGTGGGGGCTCTGTATTTGATATCTGCTCCATGAAGTGCCAGGGCAGTTTGCAACGTTTCCACGGTGCCTTGAGCAAACAACCCTTGAGTGGTCGAGTGAAAGCTTGGGGCAGTTGCAGAGTTGTTCATGCAAATTTAGCATGGGAGCTTCATGACTTCGTGCACAAGAGCTTGACTCGGTCGAACACTAGATGAGTTGGGATCGTATCCGACTGCAGCGGCACCACGACTGAGCGGCACCACTCTGCTAATTCTCACGACAGTATGTCTGAATCCAACCCCTACTTGGGAGGCAGCCTGATAGTCGAATGTGTGTTTGGACCTCTCCGAGTCCGTTTGACCAGGTGGGCGGCTTGCCACCGACAGTCGACTACGACAAGCTGACAGGCATGAGCTTGATAGCATCAGAGCGGTATAGGGGTGCCGGTCTCTGCGCTTTCTGGGACTTCACATGGCCAAGCGCTGTTGCGAACTGCCTGAGCTGCTTAAAAAACACACGTGTCTCACGGATGCTCACGCAGAGGCTATTTCCAGAAGTTCGGCGCCATTGAGGCGGCACATCCAACAGAGGGCATGGGCCATTGGAGAGGGTTCTTCAAGCTTCTTCCAAAGCCAACAAGGGGGGGGGGCAACCCAAAGAGAGCCCTGCCTTCCCCCTGACTTCGGCTTCAACCTGCGCCGAGAGGAAGCCCCCCCTTTGTTTGGGGAGGCCCTCACAAAGCCTCAAGAAACCCTCGAGCACAACTGCCTCAATGACTCAACTCCTTCAGGATGCTGTAGTGATGATGGACCCGGCCACGCAAAGGCCAGACAGCGGGAAGAGAGAGAAGTGAACGTGTAGGGAGGCAGGAAGGTGCGCATCTCTACGTTTCAGATGTCGTGCGCCTATGCGTGTTGCGTAGAATGTCACGATGTGCTAGGCTTGGGAAGGCCCTGAAGCATAGATGCGCCAAACACCATGTTGCGTCATGTTCCCTTTTCGGAGTTGCCGGTAAGGGAGCATCAGCACTCCTGAGTATCTAACCCTGCCTTCAAGGTCTCGCGGGTTCGGTTTTGTGACCTTCACGGATAGCTCCTCGGTCGAGGCGGGCTGTGCGAAAAGCCAAGCGAGCATTAGACAAAAACACAGCCAACAAAGGAGCAGCGTGTGTTGTCGCTGCATGCATGCACGCCGATGTGCATTCAAACTGCTGCATGAGACGAAGTACTTGCACACTTCATTGGTGAGCTGCTGCTCAATCTCTCAATCTCTCAAACTCTCAATCTCTCAATATCTCAATCTCTCAATCTCTCAATATCTCAATCTCTCTCTCTCTCTCTCTTTTTCCCTCCCTTTCTCACTCTCTCTCACGCCCTCTCACACTCACACCTAGACAAGTCCCGAAAGCGTTAGAACGAAGCCAAAACAACTGGCAAGATGGGAGCGGTACCAATGATGACTAGGTGTGGGAGATGATACTGCAGCCATGTCTGGCACCTCTGCACGGGGGCAGAGGTGCTGAGAGAGTCGTTTGCAGGCGACGTTTTACAAGACATCGAGCTGTATAGTCACACAAAACCCCAAACAACATACACACACAGAGAGACACCAGTCACCACCTGTGTGTAGCTCTTTTGGGTTGATGGCAGAGGAGGAGCTCAGACGGCGCTCAGAGACCTTAAGAAAGAAAGCCTTCTTACGTGACAAGGGCTTGCGAGGCGCCGCTGCCAGGAGCCTGGCTTCTGGCCAGCAGGGCCATCTACACAGGCTTCGGCTCCAGCTCCAGCCTTGACAACGCAAGACATCGAGAATCACGTGGATTCCGTGGACTTGCCAATGATAAAACCCGCATGAGACCGACCTCACCGCGACGCCCCCCCTCCCATGAGGTGATTCGCCAGCATTCGGCAGCTCCAAACCCAGGGGTTCGGCGCCACGCCCGGGATTTGCACAAAATAAGAGTTTGTTTCAGGCTGAAGAGCAAGTTTCCTTCCTTAAAACGTGTGGTGCTGCGACACTTCGGGAACACCGCAAGGGTCCTCGTGTGCTCCAAATGCCGGGTGTCGGCGCTGTGCCACTCTAGAAACGACAGCAGGGTGGTCGATCACGTTACCAACGTGTTCCAAACGTCACGCGGCACCGCGCGGCCATGCGCCTGTGCCCGAAACGCAGTGTTTCAGCGGAGCGACGCAGAGTTGGGCGGTCGCTATGACAAGAAGTTCTTAAAGCTTTGTGTGTCGGTCAAGAAGTACAAGAACAGTACATGAACAATACCACACCACCGCCTCCTGATTTCAAAATGTTGCATTGCTAAAAGTGCAGCGGGCGTGTTTGCAGAAATCACCCTATAAAGTGTGCAATACGAGCATGGAGGATGTGCCACTGCTGGGAAGCTCAACAGTATACATTTGAAAATTTTGAAGACTCGGGCCTGTCGCGGTGCACTGCCGTGCTTGCAAAAAAAAACAGCGCGGAAACACCGAACAGCTGTGGGGCACGAGCTCTCCTCGATGAGCACTCAGCGCACTGTGGCGCATGACAGGCGCAGTGGAGTGAAGGCTTTGACCGGGGATGGGTACTTGAACTCAGGATGTCATGCGCGCAAAAGTTTCTCAGAGTTTTCGGGGGCGTACAGATTGTACCAATTCCCCGACTTTTCACTCAGCATCTCAGCACACAGCTGCGACACGGAAAGTCCTGACATGCCTGACTTTTGTGGAGTTGAAGGGTGTTTGCACGTCGCCTTGGGCCACCTTTCGGAAACTTTTATGAAGCTCCAAAGGTGCCAAAACGCCACTCTTGTGTCTGTGTCGGAGCGGGTTCTGAAGTGCTCTCATAAAGAGCTTGAGAAGCCGGGGAGGCATGCATGCAGAACTATAACTCCAACGAGATCGAGGGCAAGTGGATCGAGGTGCACGGCATGCTGAGTTGAGTGGGTCCAGCATGACGGCGACCAGCTAGTTCTGGTGAATTATACACCTGGCATCTATGGGATCTTGGCGAAGCGAGGAATGAGTTTTCCTCCTGTGCTGTTCTTGGGATCTCAGAAAGCAGCATTCGTGTTGCACGTTGCCATTCGGCTCAAAGATGTCCAGCCTCAAGCTGCCTGCAGAATTCGGGCACTCCTGTCACACGCAGAAGCAAGGAAGGACCCGGCGCGAGAATTTTGGCTGTAATGGAGGTGCTCTTCATGCACAGGAAGAGACATAGATATTCACCCACCCTTGTCTACCCAACAGTTGAGATGTATGAAAAAAAACAGTAGATCGAAGCTCCGGTCAAGGTGGCCGCGCCAAGCTAAAATGGAGCCAAAAGCCTGCTTACGTAGAGCCGCATGTGGCGCGTCGATGAGGAGGAGGACCCGGTAGAGTGCCACGGTCAAAGCAAGGGCCATCCTGTGTCCGCGTCGTTCCCGCCCCTGCAGGAGGCTTCCTCGAGGTTTGACAGCGGGTCAGACTCGGATGCCACTCGAAGCACTGGGCTGGATAAGAATGAAGTATGATGAATCGCAATTCAGAGGTCAGTCCCGACATCTCCCAGCAACTCCTTCAGATGCGCGGTGTACAAGACAAGGACTGCCTGCTTCCTGTGTGGAGCGATGTCGAATCAGAAGCAACAGACTGCGAGCCTCTTGGTCTCCTTGGAGAGTTTGGGAGGTGGAGACTTGCAGGGAGGTTTGCAGTTTGCAGGGAGGTTTGCATCATGCTCGTATGCAGAGAGCACACGTCGGCTGCATCGAGTATCTGTGCGAAGCAAGTGCGCCTTTCAAATGGCACGGCTTGAGCGCTGACGCCTGTCGCTTGCAGCATCCTGGCCTGGAGCAAGCCGCCTAGACCACAAGCGGTTGGATCAAACTGGGTGCCGCCTTGGGTCTTCTTTCTTCCTGACTCTCGAGGGTATGGCGGGGTCTGAGCCGAGGTTTCTGCGAGACGCGTGCCTCCAGTGCAAACTGGTGCAATGCTCAGGGGGGGGAGGGAGGGGGCGGCCGGCTTACCTCTTTTTAGACCCTGATCCCAAATGGGGGTTTACGAAAATGAGGGACCCCCAATAAAGACCCCAAAGAGTAGCATTCCCTTATAATCCGGCACCCCTGCGGAAACCCCCAAATGACAGAGGAAATTTCGGGGGGAGGGGGGGGAAACTGCTTAAGGCTGCCTTCTTGCAGTTCCTGGCCATGCCGCTGGTGTACTTTCTCGGGTACCTCGGCTGCCGGGACTGCCCCGCTGCTGAGAATTCTCTTTACACGAAGCTGCCTCAGGTTTCTATGAGAAATTGAGTCCACAATGGATGCGAGCCCACCAGATCGTAGTGTAGCTGAGGCCAGAGGGCCGGTTCCTGTGCTGCAACACGACAATTGCCTCTGAGGGTGCAAGGAACCTTCCGGCTTTTTGGGTGGCCCGAAGCCCGAAGTCCCCTGGAGCCGTTTAGGCGCAGCTCAAGCTCCAGGAAACTTCCACAATCCGCTCCCACCCTCTCTTTCTGTGGCGAAATGGCATCTTCCCGGATGACGCGCTCCATGTGTGATGCGATGAGGCCGATTGGGTCTCTCTCCGCCCGCCACTTTGCCACGGTGAGTGGGAAGCCACTGCACGGCCAGCGGAAAGCCGCGATGCGAATGACAACCGAAGAAGCTTTTGTGAAGACCTTGCAGATGCACGGGATCAAGAACGCATTCGGCATCATCGGCTCAGCAATGATGCCCATCTCGGACCTGTTCCCGGCTGCAGGCATCAAGTTTTGGGATTGTGCTCACGAGTGCAATGCGGGCATGATGGCGGACGGATACACGAGGACGACCGGGAAGATGTCCATGATGATCGCGCAGAACGGCCCGGGCATCACCAACTTTGTAACCCCCGTGAAGACAGCTTACTGGAACCACACGCCACTTCTGCTCGTCACCCCACAGGCAGCCAACAAGACGATCGGCCAAGGGGGCTTCCAGGAAGTGGAGCAGCTGGCGATGTTCAAAGACACTGTTTGCTACCAGGAGGAGGTCCGGGACCCGACACGCATCTGCGAGGTCCTCAATCGCGTCATCGAGAAGGCCTACCACTGCTCGGCCCCAGCCCAGATCAACATCCCCAGAGACTTCTGGACCCAGGTGGTGGACATGTCCTTGCCAACTGGGGTCAAGCTCGAGCGCGGTGCCGGGGGTGCTGCCTCGACGAAAGCAGCGGCAGAGATGCTGGCGGAGGCCAAGTTCCCGGTGATCCTGAACGGCGCTGGAGTTATCCTGTCCGGAGCTGTGGATGCCTCGGTAAAGCTGGCGGAGCGTCTTTCTGCACCCGTGTGCTGCAACTATCAGCACAACGACGCTTTCCCAGGCGACCATCCTCTACACATGGGACCACTGGGCTACAACGGCTCGAAAGCTGCCATGGAAGCCATCTCCAAGGCGGACGTGGTCCTGGCGCTGGGCACGAGGTTGAACCCCTTCTCCACCCTGCCATGCTATGGCATGGAGTACTGGCCAAAAGATGCCAAGCTGATTCAGGTGGACATCAACAGCGATCGCATTGGCCTGACCAAGCCGGTAGATGTTGGCATCCAGGGCGATGCGGGCTTGGTTGCCGAAGCTCTTTTGGCTGCGCTGCCGCCTTCCGCTGGTGATGCAGGGCGCACGGAGCGGCTCAAGCTCGTGGAGGAGAAGCGGCAAGCCTGGGGCAAGGAGCTCGAAGGCATGGACCACGAGTTGGATGACGAGGGCACGACGTGGAACAAGCGCGCACGGGAAGCGCAGCCCAACCGTCTCTCACCACGGCAGGCGTGGCGCGCAATCATGCGGGTGATGCCCAAGGAGGCCATCATGTCGTCGGACATCGGCAACAACTGCGCCATCGGCAATGCCTATCCGTCCTTCCCCTCACCGCGGAAGTACCTGGCGCCGGGTCTCTTCGGGCCTTGCGGATACGGCTTTCCCGCCATCCTCGGTGCGAAGGTGGGGAACCCCTCTGTGCCAGTGGTTGGCTTTGCGGGTGACGGTGCCTTCGGCATCTCCGTCAACGAGCTTACTGCCTGTGGGCGGGGTGACTGGCCAGGTGTGACCATGATCGTCTTCCGCAATTACCAGTGGGGCGCAGAGAAGCGAAACACAACCTTGTGGTACCAAGACAACTTCGTGGGCACCGAACTCAACGCAGGCGTCGAGTATGCGCAGATGGCAATCGCCTGTGGATTGAAGGGCATCAAAGCAGAGAGCGTCGACGAGCTGGAGAAGGCCGTGACCTCTGCCGTCGAGGGGCAGATGCAGCGGAATGAGACGACCCTGATCGAAGTCGTCCTGAACCAGGAGCTTGGCGAGCCCTTCCGCCGTGATGCGATGAAGCCGCCCGTAGAGATTGCCAAGATCCATGCTAGTGACATGTGCGAGTGAGCTGCTGTGTGGATACCTCCATGGGGCTCGCATGGGTTCGCTATTTTCGGCCGAGGGGCCGCGAGTAGCCGAATTAGGCTTTCCGAGGGCCTCAGGGCCCGACATCGGGCCTCATGAGATCCAGACTCGAAAGATATTCTGAGATTCCTTGATGCCTCGGAGCGAGTTTTGAGCTTTATAGAGCTTTTGCCTGCAGCTTGGCTTGAAAGATCGTGCCAGCACCGGCGCCCAAACTCCGAACCCCAAAATCCCTTGACCTCGACGCAACATGAAAGCCCTTCAGCCCTTCAAGAAGTGCTGGGTGGGTGGGATGGGGAGCCACGACTGCCGCGATGAAAGCCTGCAGGGCTTGGGACATGTTCCCAATGAGTCCATGGTCGCAAAGACGACGTGCCATGGCCTCCCAGCACACGGACGAGACAAAAGAGTACAAGAAGCCCAGCCTCCCATGGTCGATGACGCCTCAGGGAAGCTTGCTGCGCTGATGGCTGAGCTGTAGAGCTGCAAGGCTTTGGGACCCGTGAAAGCCGAAATCCTAAACCCAAGTGGCCATCCATTGGTGGGTCACAAAACTTATTCAACAGTTAGAAGTTGCGGGGATATCTTGCAGGACCTTGCTGCGGTGACCATCGTCGTGCTTTTGTTCGCTTCGGGGGCTTTCCAGTTCCGGCTGAGTCTTGGCAACCGAAGCTCGTTGCAAAGGCCTTTCCAGGCATTCCCGCAAGCGCCACATGTCCAGATGTGAGGCTTAGAATGGAGCGGGCTTGGGCGTCCAACGTAAAGCCCAAAATCAAGAAGCGAGTCAGCGAGTCTCCCGGCCTACAGGAACTCAAGAGAAAATCGAGGAGAGGGAGAGGGAGAGAGAGAAGAAGGAGAGCTTCGGACTTGGGCGCCCCTCGGAGCAGCTCCCCTTCGGGGAGGCTATGCGTGCAGAGAGAGGGGGAGAGAGAAATCCTCTGGAGGGGATGCGCAGAAGAAGAAGAAAAAGAAGAAGAAGAAGCAGACATTTTGAGAAGTTTTGTTTTGCGGAAGAGACGAAGTCAAAGAAGGCAGCTTCAGACCTCGCATTTCAAAGTTCTCTGTTCAGACGTCCAGGAGCTTCTGTTCCCTTAAGAAATCCTCCCAAATGCCCTTCCCGAACACGGGAACACGGCCTGAAGCGACCATGAGAAAGATGCAGGTGACTGCACGTGAGCGCACACGCCTCAGGAAGGACCGTCTACTCGAATGGTTGCGCTGCCACCCTCAGGCCAACAAGCTAGTAGTGTACCAGGAAGTGTGTAATAGGAGCTTGAGCTTCCCGAGTCACAGGCAAGACGGGCATGATTCATGATGTCACTGACTTGTAGAATCCGACATTGGAGGGGGTGCGCTGAGTTCCCGAGTGGAGCCCCAAACATCCGAATGGATTTGATTCCTCGGCTAACTTCTGGTGCCTATAGTGCCTTTCAAGCGGCACGCTGCTTGAAGGAAGCCTGGCAAGAGCTGACCCAGGCCACGGCCGAGCTGGAGGCCCCAAATCTGTCTGTCCAGTTTGCGCGGAGACTGAGGCAGCCTGAACGGAAAAAGCTTGGCATGTCGCATTGACACACCTACCCTGTTCACATCGGAGCATCCATGATGATCTTTACTTTCTTGCCAGACTACAAGGCATCTTCGAAGTGGCTGCCGTGCCTTTCCACAGGCCGGGATCCCTTGAAGTCGAGCGCAAAAATGGAGCAAAAGAATAAAGCCAAAGCCGCTCTGTGACCTGAGGCTCCCTGGCCTTTGTGAAGGGGATCTATGAAGCCGTGGACCCGGCCATGGATGCTTTCGCCGCGGGAAACTCGAGGCCAGGAGTCTTTAGATGTAGCGGAAGGCCTTCACCAAGAATTGCACAAAGATGTAGAATCGTCACTGCAACGGAGAGTTCACGGCTCTTGCAAGCACAGTCTTGCCTGCAATGTCGCTTCAGTGTTGCTGCCTGCATGAGGCACATGTACACCAAAGACGTGGAACGAGGCTTCCAGGCGAGGGCATGTGCTTGAGATGTGGCCCTGCAAAGCAAGGTTCCACGCATGATGCGTAGGGCAGGTGTGGGTATGGGTATGGGTGTGTGAAGCATCGCTGCACATGCGGTTATGTCAACAAAGGGTGTGAGACAGAGCCCAGTTGTCCCTGCAGGTCTCCTGGAGGCGTGCCCCACTCATTGGCCCTGCGGTTGCCGGGGTCGGATTGCCGGGCTCACAGAGTTGCTTCCTTCAGCTACTCAAGATCTGATAAACCCTATAACCCTCAACCCTAAATCTCTCTCTCTCTCTCTCTCTCTCTCTCTTTTGGGGAGCTGCGACTTTCAAGGCCTGGCGTGCTGCTGCTGATCTTGGTGGCAGCCACCACCTGCCAGATCTACAAGCTGGTCTCGGAAACGGTCCGCTTGGAGCGCAAGATCGCCAGCATGGAGGTGGGGGGGGAGGGTGGGGTGGCGGGTTGGGGGGTGGGGGGGGTGGTGGGGTGAGGGGCCCTTCAGACGACTTTTTTTTTTTTTTTTTTTGGGGGGGGGGGGGGAGTTTGTTTTCAGATTCTGCTCCTCCCGGTGTCTCGGAAGCCAGAAGGCTGAGGCCGCTGGAGGGAGCGAGCCGCTCCCTAAACACACCCCAAAACCTCCAAACCCTAAAGCTCCCACAAAACCCGGTCTTGTATGCGTACAGGTTAGAGTAAGAAAAAGGAAAGGACAAATAATGAAACAAGCATTGGGGAAGGTCACATTATCTCTTCGAGCATCCCAACCCTGTCCCAAAGTGTATACTTGCTGGGCATATCCACAAAACGAGGACCACATGTAGGAGACAAGAAAAGTGGATTGAGTTTCTTGTATTGTCACGCAAGACAAGGTGAATCTGTTGTTTTTCTCGGACGTCTATCCTTAGTAGAATGGGTATGCCCAGCAAATATACAATGTATAGGGCAGGGTGCAGATGCTCGATCATTGGAGGTTGTCGCTCTTGGTCTGTCTTTGCGAAATGCGAAGCTGCTGTCGCTTTTGGACATCCGGTTTCGCGAAATGCCAAGTGTCCTCGCGCCTGCAAGGCCTGGCCGCTACATCGCCGCTGTTTTTTACGGTGCGCGCGCAGGCCCGACAAGTCGACCGGCCACTGTATGACTCCAATTTTGGGGGACAGCTCTTCGGATTACATGGTGGCAACGTTTCGGCCGCAATCGCCGGCCGAGAGGCTGGCCGCAAAAAGGCCGCTCTTTCGCGGTGTAATCACCCGCCTGAGAGGCCTGCTAGCTGCTATATAGGGCAGCTATGCGGCCTTGCATCTGTCTTGTTTCCCTTCTCGCTATCTTTCCTCGTATCTGTCCATTCTCCTTTTCTGCCATCTCTCCTCATATCTGTCCTCGTTCCTATCGTATCCTTTCCTATCTCACTGAGAGGTACTGTAGTAGAACTTAGGACTTTAACCTTTTGGGTTTTTGCAGAAACTACAATAAGGAGCCCAAAAGTTAAACTTTCACGAGGGGTTCAGAAGTCAGCCAAAAAGAACGCTGTTGTTGCCGGTGCCACTCAGGGTGGGGAAATTAACACATGCCTCTTGCCCGAATCGATCCAATGTCCTATCGACATCGAGATTTCGGTTTAATTTTGCCGCCATTCGACGCGATTTCCCGATTCCCCACTTCCCACCTCCCACCTTCTCCCACTTCACCTCCACCTCAGCCCCGCTTGTGAGCCACCATGAGCCACCTCAGCCTCCCCTCGCTCTCTATGTCTCCAGCCTGGAAGGTGGGGGGGAGGCTGGGAGGTGGGGAGTGGTAGGAGGGAGGTGGGAGGTTTAGGGGCTGAAGGGTTCTTACGGGTATGCGGGAGCGTCCGGAACCGAGCCACTGATGCACGCGCGTCACGCGTCATGAGCATCAGCGGGTACCAAGCTTCTGCTTCTATCTTTTCATGCGTGGTCCAAGGCAGGGCCAGAGCGACCGTGACCTCCCTGAACATTCTACGGCTTCATGCGGTGATCTCGGAAGGTTTGCCTTTTGGGGCTTGTGTTCTCATGCGTTTTACAGGCTATTCCGCGAGCTGGCGCGGGCTTCTGGACGTCTTTTCTGGGAGCCCGGGCATCACGAGCATGAGACAGCGGGGCGAGCCTACGCATGCACAGCGAGATCGAAATACTCCTCAAGTCGCAGCAGCACTTTTGTAATCCCCTTTTGATACCCGTCTCCAAAAGTTGAGCCTGGTCCAGAAACTTTCCTGCCGGCAGGCGGAATACCCGGCACATGCTCGTGAGGCTGGGCAGAGAGATTTCCTTGTGTGAGATGGCGTTCACGGCTCTCCTGGTCCCATACTACGGAGTTTGGACAGCATAGGGAAATTGGGGGCTTCCTCAGCGGCTGAGAGCAATACACACAACACCATTGCTCACCCCCGACTCGTATCCTCTGATTGACGCCGGGGCATAAGAAGTGATCTTCCGCGCCTCGGCCTTCGCATAGACATGTCTCGACGGCTTGCAGACACATGATATCATGTGCCGGCAATTACGGCTGGGGGTACAGAGTCCCCCCGAAAATGGAAGCTGATGCAACAACAACCTTCTGACTTGCCCATGTGCAGAAGGTGAACACTGTAACGTGTACAAAGAACCGCCATGGGTGAGCGGCTAAGGAGGCTTTTTGCAAGGAGCTTCCTGAGTCACACAACATGTTTTTCCCTTCCAGACTCCACGGCTCGAGGCAGCCTCTTGGCGCTGGCAGATGTGGATACGCCCCTTGGAAGTTTTGTGGAAGTTTGTCACACCTTCGACTTCGGACACTTCGGACATGTACCTCTTTGTCTTTTAGGGCACTCCCCGTAGCCTGGGGTTCGTTAGCACCATGTTGTTGCCTCTTCTGAAAAAGCCGCTCTCATCAATGACAATGGACTCAGAGGAATGGCCCATGTGACTGACGTCGGGGGCCTGATGTCACCTGGCACTTGTGAGCGAGTAGCGTGCAGGGTTCCAAGCCTTTGCTGCGATCAGCTGGAACCAGAGAAGCCCTGTATTCAACATGGGGAGACATGAGAGACGGTGCAGGAATGGCACCCAAGGAGATCCTTAAGCCTAAGCCTGCGAGGTTACTGCATTATGTCTACCAGCAGCTGGTCCGTGCCTAGTCAATTGTCAAAGGGATTCAAGGGGCTTCAAAGTTCAGTCGCCCTCAGTACTTCAGTACGACCGTGCACATCAGACCGGCAAGCCTATTCCATCCTATGCGGCTACAGGGAAGAGGCCCGCAGTGTGTAGTGGTTCGGCGCCGACAAGAACCAAACAGCCTCGTTCCACCAAGGTGTCGAGATCGCGCGGTATCCACACCTTTGGCCAATAGTCGATCGCAACGCGGCCTTTGAGGCACTGCCCGGAATTGCTCAGAGCTTCGACCCGAAACTTTGGGGAAGTTGGCCACAGTTCGAAGCATTGGGAGGGTGGAAGCCACAGACCCTCAACAGACCCGCAGAATACGACCAGGGTTCCACTCCTTGTTGCAGAACTCTTCGGGTGCATATAGGGTTCCTTATAAATATTGGTGAGTGTGCATCCAAACATCAAGCCAGGAATCAGTACATCGGTTTCCAGGTGAAGACCTTCATGGAAGCAGTGCCTTCCCTCTGGTTCCAGATTTCGCTGGTCGGCTTGACCTACGACTCCTGGCTGGGGAGATTTAGGGCTTAGGGTGTAGGGTTTTCAAGCAAGATGAGGTTCATATGGAGTTCACTGGTTGAAAGGTGCGAATGCAGCACTGAAAGAGGACGTTGGCAACATTGAGTAGCAGCGCACAGTCTCTGCGACGGGGGGGTTGGGGGGGGGTTGGGATGCCTGTCGACCTCTACACTTCTACAGCCCTACTTGTACATCCGAAAATGACCAAACCGTTCAACCCCCCAACTGTGAACCAAAAACTGACCAACGAGCATGACCAGTAAATTGACCTGTTGGTGCGCTGACATTCGCCGGCACCAGAAAAATCCGCGAGACTCAATCGGATCTTGCAGCCCCAGGTTTCAAGCAGCAATACTGGGACACTTGGGTGACATTCTGGCATCCCTTGCCGTAAGGTCACAAATCGCTCTGCAGTTCTAAGAGCAGAAATGGCCGGGAATCCGTCAGGGCACCGGGCATTGCACGGCTTAAGACGCATGCTGCCGCATGCTACAATGCTTCAGCCCTCGACTGCCTGGAGCCAGAGCTGTCATGACGTCATTTGCGCGGCCAGGCTTAGGTGGCTAAGGGGCTGGTCTGGTGCCTCGCGTAACTCTCTGTTAATGCTGTCATACACGGCATTCCTAGGGCTTCGAGTTCTCGAGTTCTCGGGAAGAGGGATGTAACGCGAGTGCTCAGCGCAAGCACTCACGATCCTGCCAAGGACACAGCCAGCACTGAAAATCTGGTCGTCACCTTTGCGTCGATCACTACTGGTGCGCTGACAGTGGGTCATATTCTCTTCCTGGAGACATCGGTGCAGCTTGGCATCACAAGTGGGAAGTGGGGGGGGGGGGGAGGTTCAAACTCCGAACGACCGAGCAGCTTAGGCACTTGTCTCCCGTGTACATGTCGGCTTTAGCTCAAGAGTGCTAAGACAGTGTTTCTCCAGCGTATGTCCATTACAGCAGGAGAAAAGAGTCAGGCTTTGCTGCACAATACTCGTTAGAGTCACAGCAATAGGAAAGCCCAGAGTACAACAAACAAAGCCATACATCCGAGGACGGCAAACTCAGTTTTGCCAGGACCTCACCACATTCAAGGACATCAGCATGTGTACATCCAATCCCCTCACGCACCACAATGCAGCAATCTCGAGCAGTTCAGACAATGGGCAGTCACAAAGGCACTGTCATATACCTCCAGTTTGGATACGCCTGCCCCCAAGCCTTTGGACACGGAGATACACACATACCCGGACACCTGTGGGTTTCCTTGTCTTTCCCGCCCTCTGCTCGATGATGGTAACTCATAGTGACACGATAGTACACCTGAGACTCAAGCATCTCTTGAGTTCTCAGCTCTAACACCCATCCTTGTACAGACATCCCACGTCCAGCACGATGAGCCAGAAGGAGGATGCTGAATCCTTGATCTATTCCGCCCACAAGCCTCATCGGCCCACAATCATCCACCAAGTCAACGACTGGAAGCACACAATGCGCCCCCAAAACAGCTCTACCTCAGAGGGAGTGCCGTCCGGCGTTGAGCCCCGCTTGTGCGTATGTGTATGAACGACATGGAAATGTGCACTTTGTCAGGCATACATGATGTCGTGCACAATGCATTGTGAGTGCATTGTTTCTCGTTGTGATGGAGCTTGCGCCCGCTGATTCCTCCGACGGTTGCAGCATGAGGCTATGACCTAGCTAGTGTCAGAGTGCTTTCCGGCCGTCAGCGCGTGTTGTTCTTTATTGCCGGCTTCATGCCACAGCACACACACACACATGGATGCCAAGTAGCCAAAATATTGCACTTTGATAGGTGCGAGAGACAGCATGGCGAAGTCACAGCCGAGTCAAAGTTTCTGTTCCAGTGGCTGTTGTGCTTGCCTTGCCCAGACAATGACTTGTTGCAAGCTTTCGTGTTGGGCATCCCGACCTCAAGGCTACATGTACATGCCGGTGCCAATCACATGCTCACTTCGCTCCCCAGACAAGCGCACTGAGGCTTCGACATCTGTCCCACCTCGGAGAGCTCTTCACGCAGAAGCAGTGGGCTTTTTTACTAGCATACGCAACCTGGCGCCAACTGGAGGTTCGCACGGCTGACGTAGCAAAGCAGTCTTGCCGCACAGCACTGAATGTCACTTTCGCTATTGGATCAAGCAACTCTCCGTGAACACTGGCAAACTTCCAGGCACAGGATGTCTGAGTTTCTTTGGGGTCAAGTGAGAGGCCCCCTTCGTAGGAGGCGGAGGCATCTTGGGGTGAGGGAGGCGCGTTGCTCTGATCTAATGGTGAAGCCACCCGAAGGCTAAGGCTGGTTATCCTGTTGAGTGCGCATGACGTCCCAGGTGGGAACGCTTTGCTGCTGGTCTGCTTGCATGGTCCGCCTTCTGGGCGTATGGATCTGCCCAGGACTCCGAGTACCGCCGAAGCGTGGTCGGTTGAGTTGCGGCTAAATACTGTTCCATGCTGCTCCTGGCATCTGTTTTTCTGGGATTCTGGGCCACTTGCAGGTCTGAAGATGCTTTTACGTTCAGAGCACTGAAAAGCGAGAGGTTACGATACCATAAATGTTGGCTTTTTCGTAAGATATGGACTGGCGTGCGGTATATTAGTCCTCAGGTTAAGGGCATTGTTCTCCGTGTTCTGACCCCGTAGCTTGCGGAGGGGGAAGGAAGCATTAGAAAAAAAATATTGGAGCTCGGTTAAAGTTTTGTTGGGGATCTTCTTAAAGCTAGTATTTCTTGAATTGGTAATCGTTAGTACGAATCCGATGCGAATTATCGAAATAATGATAACCCGATGAAACTTACTCAGCGTCTTATTGAAACACACCTCAATCTGAGTAACATTCATACGAATCCAAGTAAAATTAAGCGGAATCCTACGTAGGAATCCAATTTAACTCTGTTAGAATTTCGAGGAACCTTCTTAAACTGGTTCGCATGCTGTTAAGGCAGGGCCGCCCCTTGTTCTTCGGGGGTCTGGATAATTTGGATCTCTCTGAGGGTTTGAGCACAGTCCACGCACAGCACGTTTTCCGTCAGAAAGGATTCTGGCGGCGATGTCAGTTGAACCGATCAAGCTGCTGCGCAGACAGGGTGGTTACAGATACTGTTGCGGGTAGAAGGCAAGCAAAGTTGCTGAAAAGGATGAGGGTTCATGCTTCATTCATCCTTGGCGAGTACCGTTGCTTCTGGATTTTTGTCAGCAAGGTTGGTTGATTACTCAGTTGCTTTGCTATCGGTCCGGGTGTGTACGTATGTGCAGAATATGTACATGTATACGCATATGTATATCTATATGTATACGTATATGTATAGATATGTATATATATATATATAAATATGTATATACACATATCCTTCTGTGCGTGAGTGTGTGTGTGTGTGTGCGAGCAACTTAACTTAGCACCAAAACACTACTGCAACAGTGCCCTTGCTATCTTGCTGACAGTCTTTCTGCAAAAGCTCCACCGAAGGACACATCCTGAACGTCGAGTCTGGTTGCCAGCAAAGTTTCGAGGGACAGCGGATCTGAAAAAGCGCCAGCAGGGACATGACGACATGGGCATGTCATGGACCTTCGGGTTGGGGTGCGCAGTTGAGCTTGCACGTTTGCCGCCAAGGGGGTGGTATTCTGCTAAAGTTTCTGGCCCCCTCGCTTATGGCTCTTCAGATGTACGAAAGCACAAGTCTCTTCCTTGGAAAAATTCAACGACACAGTAGAGCCTTTCTCTTGGCAGGTCAAGCGCTGCATCCCACAGGCCTTGGTGGATTCCAGCAGACTAGGATAAACAGAGGAGAGTTGGCAGTTTCACCACAGCGAGGAATGCAGTGGAAGGTGTGGTCGGTGTTCGATTTGGGGTTGAGCTTGGGGCTAGATGGGTCATGGTCCAGATGCATAGACACTAAACAGCATTCTGCTTGTGCTGATGAATCTCTCGCGGAGTCTAGAAGCCTCGAGGCTTAGTTCGCACGGCAATAAGGCAATAGGGCAGCAGGCAACGCACATCTCTAATGTAGGGGTCGGAATTATTGCTATTCCCTTGGGGTCCCTTTTATAATTATACTACAACAGCCCCCCCAAAACCTTATTCTAATTATTCAGGCCCCTGTATTACAAAGTTCAGCGTCTTTCGAGAGCCTTCGAGGACAAAATGGCTCCTGGCTCTGGCAGCAAAGGCGCCCCAGGGTTTAGGGTTTAGGGTTTAGGGCTTAGGGTTTAGGGTTTAGGGTTTAGGGTTTAGAGTTATTCAGGATTTTTTTGGAGGGTCTGTAGGGCCATCCTAGCAAAAGACCTTCAAATCCGTGCTTGAGGCTGTACTTGGGGCTCGTGCCTGCCGCGCATGCGCGGCAGCCAACTTTCTTTGCACCCCATGCAACCTCCTTGCCTCAGTCTTTAGCCTTTGCAGGGCTTGCAAAAGAGTTGAACACGCTGCACAGGCAAAGGGAAGAGCAAGGGCCCACCGGCTGGTGGCTGCAATGGCGGACTTGGCACGGAATTTGGCATTGACGGAGTGCTGAATGCTGAGCGCCCTGCGCCGCGTGCCTTCTGTCTTCCGTGGGTTCGTAGAAGTTGTACTTAGGGTCTCTAGGGTTTTAGGGTAGCATCTGCAAAAGAAAGCAGGTTGACAAGAGGAGCCTGAGCTTTGCTGCTTTGCTGCTTTGCTGCGCTGAGTGCTGTGCTGTGCGCTCAGGGAATACCCTGCCACTGCCAGGTGGTGGTGGAATGGGAGGTCCTCAAGGCGCCTCAGACGTCGTTGAGATGAAAAAGCATCGTAACATCATCCCTTCTAGGTTTAAGGTTTAGGGTCTAGGGTTCGGGGATCTTTTGAGACATAACTCGTGCTACCTTCCAACGGTTCAAGAGTCCGGGGCCCACCAGAGTTTTGCAGCTGCTTTCAAGAGCTAAGCAGCTAAGCTGCCGCAATCGAGTTGTTCATAGTTCATCTTGTTTGCTTTTTTAATTTGTGAAGAGCCTGTCAGGAAGCGCACTGTACCGTAACATGGCTCCCGTTGTCGCATAATCAGCAGGAGGCTATCCCTACGCTGGCGCGTACGGCGCAGGCTATGGTGGATACGGAGGAGGTGCCGGACTGTGAGGAAGTTCCATGTGGGGGTTTACGAAAATAAGGGACGCCGAATATGGACCCCCAAATAGTAGGATCCCCTTATGATAAGGACCCCAAAAAGGAACCCAGAATATCAGAAACCCCCACGTCGTCCTGGCACACAGCCGCTTGCCAATGTCTAAGACTTGGGATCGGAAGAGGAGATGCAAAGGGTTTCTTGCAATGCCTTTGAGTCGTGAGTAGTTCTTAGAGGCCAGTCTTCTTGCTTACCAAGTTCTTACACACGAGCCGTAAACGGGCCCTCGTGGATGTGAAACAGGCGTTCTTTTTTTGGAATTGTGGGAGCTCGCAGTCTTTCACGCTGCCAGGCTACGGCTATGCAGCTCCACCTGCATACGGTTATCCTCCGCCAACTGCATACGGTTATCCAGCAGCCGCTTGGCACAGTTGTGTCTTTGATCCGAAGCCAAAGATAGCCAAAGAGCCCCTCAATTTCCAAAACCGGCCAACAACTCAACAGCTCCTTTGGGTTTTTTTTCTATTTTTTTGCTTTACTTTTTCAGCGGTCGATAAATCGGCCTTCTCTCTCTCTCTCTCTGAATGCGGTTGGATTATTATAAATAGCAATTCGAACCCCAACTAAGAGAGGTCTATAAGCCGGGTACGCAAGGTGCAACAATGGGAGCACATGCCGGCACCTTCACTCCTGTTTCTCAAGCCTAGAAACGAAGCTTCCCAAATCAGAGCATGAAACAACTGAACCAACTTGAATTAACGTGAAAGAACGACAAGAAATCTGGACATCTCAGGGCTACGGCGGCTACGGCGGAGGATACCCACCGGGCCGGGGACCTGGAAGCTCCGCATTTAGCAAGATCTCTTCTCTCTTGGCAAGAAGATGCAAGAAGGGGCATGTGGCTTCTATTCCCAAAGGTGCAGTTTCTGACAGAATCTGACAGCTGCCTTCCAGTTCCTGCCAAAATGCTACACCATTCGGGAGCTTGGCCTCTCCAGTTCATTGCTGCTCCCAAAGCCTGCTTTCATAGCGAGGCTACGGAGCCTATGGAGCACCACCTGCACCACCTGCAGATCGTGCAGCGCAGGGCTTACCGCTTCGCTCTTCCAGGGACATGGTGCTTGTGTGGGATATGATGCAGCTTCCTACTATGGCAAGGTGGTACACTTTGGCGAATCTCTTGCCATTGGAGTTGCTGCGGTTCATGCTTTGCATACTGCACACAAGTCTTGAGTTGGAAAACATTGCGATTCAAGCTCTTGGCACCAAGATGCGCGCACTTAAGCAAACGAAAGCCGATCATCGTTCAACCTAGTAGTGGTGCGGATAAACCCGCCGCCGTCCCCCTCTCTTCTTCTGCCTCAGCTGCCTTAGCTCGAAGAAGGGATGCCTCCCCACCCCCACCCCCCCCACACCTCCACCCCCCCACCCCAAACCACCCCCCCCCCCCCCCCCCCCCCCCCCCAAAAAAAAACCCAGCACCCACCCCTCCCAAGCCCGCCCCTCTTGATGTGACATCCTCGTTGATCCATCGCCGATTGGCCCAAAAGGCCCCGAAGGTTCTGGTTTTGAATGCCCTTGGATGTGTTTTCCGGCACACAAAAATGAGAGGTCCTCAAAAGTGTAGCTCTCAGTCCAAAGTTGCAGGCTAGTTTAACGAAACTGGCCGGAGGCCAAGGGGCCCGAGGTTGTTCTACTGGTTTTATGGAGGGTTCAAAGGCACCAAGCCAGGATAGCTCATAGACACATGAGTCGAGGCTGTTTTGAGAAGACGAAGGTACAATTCCAGGGTGTGGGGCTTCTGGTCCGAGTGGAGTTAAAAAAATCCGCAATCCCGGCAAGATCTCCGCTGTTGTTGTCAGCGCCTCACATATGGCACCCTGCATCCATGCTGCCAGCCTAGGGGCCTAGCCCTTGAAGTGGCTCTGTCAGAACTCCTTGCACAGTCCTGATTTCAAGTTGGACGATGTGAAAGTCAGGAATAGGCAACGGCTTTTCTGCTTCGCAAGCAGCTGGAAGCGCTGCTCGCCTTCGGTGTAATCAGCTGCCCCCCCCCCCCATCGTACCTTGTGCAGTTTCTTTTGTACAGTCGCAGCCGAGGCGCCCTACTGAGCTGCAGTTTTGGGCCCTGCGGCTTCAGCATCATGTGTGGGCAGGCGCGCAGTAAAGAAGCGCAGGGAATGTCGTAGCGTGAGCACTTGGGAGTGTACTGCAGACTGTCAGTGGTCCTTGGAGAAACCGTGGACTGATGAGTGCAACCGGCTTAGGAATTTGCGGGATCTCACAACTGAGCACTAGCTCCTTGGCTCCATGCTGGGCACCCCGCGTTGGCTTGCGCACGACAACTGCTACAGTGCCTAGAAGCGTCCTTCCGTGCCACCAACCCCGAAATGTCCAGCCCTGACAGTTGCGCCCGAACTACAGCTTCACAGGAACCCCCGATCAGTACAGCAAAGCGCTCATCTCAACGACGCCTGCCAGTTCGCAGACAACTCAATCCGGTGTAAAGGAGAACATGCACTGCTCTCCAGGCTAGAGAGCCACTGGGACTCCGAAGAGCAAGGTGACACAGAGTTAAATCACCTCCGGATTGAGTACATTGTACAAGTGTGTTCGCATTCTGGAAGTGCATGAAAAGCAAGCACTCGCTGAACTGAAGCACTTGCATGCAAGAGTTAATTTTGCAAGTCTGATAGTTGAGGCTGACTAGGAGTCTGATTCGAAGCTTGCGTCTACAGGTGTAGTGGGAGCTTGCAGAGAGCAACAAGCAAAATGCATTGCGGGGTGTTTTGTGGCGGCTAGCATTTTGGTGACCCTATACGGTTGATTCGTTTGTAAGAAAGCTCTTTCGTGTCCAACCACACAAGGGTTCAAAACCCCAAACCCTAAACCCTAAACCCTCCAGACCTTCATACCATGTCCAAGTATTGGATCCTTCACGGCTGTTGCGTCATGTCGGGAGTCTTTCGCTGTCGGAAGCTCGAGGCCTTTAGGGCCCTCGGAATCCGGGAAGCCTCTCTCGACGTGTTGGGCCGCATTCTGCTGAGCCCATGACCAGCACGGTACTTCTGCAAAGGGCTCCACTCAAGTAGCAGCCCCACCGTTAGTTCTTGGGGTCTAAGGTTGATTTTGAGCAAAAATGTGAAACAGGAGCCTGACCTTTTGTAGCGATTGAAACTTGCACCCAGGGGGCCTCATTCCTCCTCTGTTGCTTTGCAGCCGGCAGGCATGGTGACGCTCGTGAGTGATGCCTGAGCGACTAGGCGCACACGGCGCACACCACAATGCCTTGGCGAAGAGACCTGGACCTCTCAGCTCTCGAAGAACCCACTCGTCAGAATCGTAGAAGCGCAGCCAGGAAGGCTACTCTACATGTCGATTGTTGTTTCGTGAAGATCTGGCATGTTTCAGGCACACTTTGCCGGGCAAGTTGATCGTTGGCCACGTGGCATGTAGCGGTGCAAAGGACAATCCTTGAGGGGGGGACACGGATAGCCCGAAGTGAGCGGGCGTGCCAATGTTTGTCGTATCAGCTCCTGGGCAGTGCCACTTTCGACAATCATGCAAGTTGACCTGCTGCAGAGATTACAAAATGATGGGGTGGTTGTGGCAACCCTCACGCTTCGTTGCTGAACTCCTGAACAAGTGGAATGGGCAAGCGAGCCAACGCCTTGACGCGCGGTGCAAAGTTCCTGGGATTGTTCTTGGCTCAATGATTCACCCTGTCCGCGGGTAGAAAAGCAGCATTGACAGAATCGTTCCAGGCATGCACAACACGTAGGAGCAAAGGGGCATGGGGGGCCGGCGCCGGCGCGACCGAACCCCGCGTGGAGACCAAGGGCCTGTCACAATTTTCGAAGGCTGGGGAGTTATCAGGAGTTTCTGAGGGGACCTACTGTAAGGAGTCACAAATTCGGCGAGCTCGATTTCAAAAATCGTTAGTGCATGAAAGCTCTATGCCAGGGCCGACGCATGCCCGGACCAAGGGTAGGCATCCAGCTTTGTTCACCCGTTCGGCAGTACCCCCGAATGGGTCATTCCCCAAACCCCGTCTATTGATGTAATCATTCACTTTTGATCTTCCACGTCCAACAAAATGCCGAGGTCCTACAGTGACTACTACAGCGATGAAAGCCGAAGCCCGTCACGCGACAGGCGGCGGCGCCGCAGGTACCCCTCAGGGACATTGGCATGCGTAGGCTGCGTGAATCATGGTATCTTTGTTTTGGAGCAGTGAGGTAAAGACCGGCCAAAAGGGGCACGCACATCCAGTGGCAAAAATGGCAAAGCGCGGGCCAGGAGGCGAGGCACGTCGCGGAAACGGCGCCGTTCGAAGATGAGCACCGTCGACAAGCCACTGGGCAGTTTGAAAAGTTTTCCATACCTGTTTCAGAATAGGAACAGAGCTGAATGTCCTTGGGTTCGCTCCGAATCTCCCATGCTCGTGGACGCGGGAGCCTTATAGTAGCCTAGTAGCAAACCCGACTTCGCAAAGATTTGGTGTGAGCTTTGAGAAGAGGTTCATCCGAGAGAACGAGCTTAGCGAATCCGCAGCCGCGCGCTTGCGCGGTGCTGCCCGCGAGGCCAGGCATCCCTCCACTCACATCTTCAGTCCAGGATGGGCTATCATACCCTAGAATACCTTAAAAGGCCCTTTATAGGGTTCATTATGGGGATGATAAGGCCTCATCGCCCATCCTGGGTAGCTCCGGCAGATGTTCATGACCTCAGCTTGAGCGGGTCACCGTAAGGAGTGTTTTTTTTTTTTCTCGCGTGTTCTTAAGGTTGCGGAGTTTAGGTTTGGGGTTGACTTTCACGATCGGTCGCACGATCAATGCGGATGTGATTGAGCCGCTCCCACCCAACCCCTAAAATGCTGAAGTTTACAGCAGTTCAAATCTCCGTCGTCTGCGGCCTGCTGCACTATGTGAAGGGGAGGTATCAAACCTTGAAATGTTTGTTTGAAGCTGTCGTTGTAGCATCGCAGTAAACGCCTTGATTTGCAGCAACAGCTCCTGAACCCCTGTGAACTGCAGCACAGCCCGAAGTCGAGCCATAGACCATCCAAAAAGGTTTCTCCGCCCCTTCGGACCTGTTAACTCCAGAAGCAACAAGCCAGTCGCGCAATCGCTGTAAGACCGTAGTGCTGCGTGAACACGGCGTCGAAGCTCTCACAGGTTGGGACGCCCCGAACACCCGAAGCCTCTGTAAAGGTTTTAGTGGGGTCGGAAACACCCTGGAACCCAGCAAGGAGCAAGAAGCCAAGACAACTGAAGGTTTTGGCACATGCGATTTGCGCATCAAAACAGCTGAGCAGCTTTTGAACAAGGGCAGACTTTTTTTTTGCCTCAGAAGAGAAACTCTGAGGCAAGCAAAAGAAGAGCCATCACCCTCTGGCCTCGTGCGGGCGGTTGCGAGGGCTCTTCTCTCCTTGTTTCTGCTGCCAGGTCCAGGATGCATGCATCGACCAAGGCTGGAACGCCACCCACTGAGGCTTTGCAAGTGCTCCTTTTTGTAAGGGTGCTCTCTTTGTGTGTGTAGTCCCTTCCCCCTAATATGAAAAGCCCCTACTCCCTCCCCCTCCCCTAGGGGTGTTTTCATATTAGGGGGAAGGGATTACTTGAATTTGTACTGGATGTGCACTGGTGATGGTGTCTGGCAGTTTTCGCCGTACATGTTTGGGCTGTTCAAGCAAAGTAGGCTGCTTGACATCATACATCTTAAGAGTTCGAGCGAGTTCGGGTGTTTGGGTTTAGCCGCCTAGTATGGTTCTTCTTAGCCCGGCCAAGCCATGATCCCAAAGCCAAACTTCCGTGAACCTTTTTAAGTTCTAGACCAGATTTCTGAGTTCGAGTACAAGATTCAGGTCTAGACAAGGATTCTGACTTCGAGAATTAGATTCAGGACAGGTCGCATTGCCTTGCTGAGGTGATCGAGAACGCCCGCAACGCAAGTGCGGTTGTGGTCTCACGAATAAAGCCGAACTGCCATGGGTTCGAAGGTTACCCTGATGACTATTGAGATGTTCCCCCTTCTACTAAGAGTCCTTTGTAGAGGTTATATATGTACCCCGTATCATAATCCCTATGAAGGACTGTTAGTATAGGGGGGGGGGAACATCCCAACTGATGAGCATTGAGCCTGCAAACCAGGCCGTGAAGGCTTTCTTGTTGAAGTGGGAAGCCTTTGTCCTTTGCCATTCTAAGTTGAAGCGCGGAGATGTTGAAGAGTTTTTCGTTTTGAACGTCCGTGCGGGGTTCTTTAGACAACGCTGGGGCAAGCCCTCTGCGGAAGTGCGATGCGCCCTTGCGCCGTCAGTTTCTGTTGGTTGCGCAGCTTTCAGGAAACTTCGGGCAGAGGGCGTAGCGGCGTAGCTTGTCTGGGCCATCATGAATGAAATGGGATAGTGCAGGTTGGACGCCAGAAAAGGTGCACATTCAGGTGTCTCAAAATAAAAGATAGAATATTGACTCCCAAAAAATGTGACACACACGCGCACACACACACGCGCACACACACACACACACCGCACACACGCACACACGCGCGCGCGTACACACCAACTTCTACCGCTCTCTCTGAAGACAGCAGTGCTCACGCCAGGAAGATCGAGGACTCCATGCGAGGGGGCCGGGATGGCCGGGATCGCTCCCGAAGCCCGCGACAAAGCGGCGGAGGTGGTGGCGGAGGCGGAGACGGAGGCACTGCCACTGCCAGTTCATCTGGATTCATCCAGTTCTCCTGCGGTCAAGTATGGAGCAGGCAGGCATGTGTCCTGCACAGTAATGCATGGGTTGATCCAGGAGACGTCCGCGATGGAGACTGGCCGCTTGATGCAGATCTGAAGCTTTTCTGTCCTTCATCTTCTATCGCAAGCTGAGCACGATTGTCTCGAAGGTGTCGCTTGCGTTCGTTTACTTGGTTCAGGAAGGTCCCTCTTACGCCAAATCCCCAAGTCATGGCAACATGCCCAATCCTCAGTGCAGGCACCACTTGCCCAAACCCGGAAGGCGAGCCAAGCTTTCTGGGGAGGGCCGGGGATGTCAGAAGGAGGGGGGAAGGAAGGGTCCTCATCCCTAAAACCTTAAGACCCTAAAAGCCTAACAGCCTAA